CTGGTAAGTGAACAAAGAGACATCTCCTATAACCTTGAGTAGTTCACTATCTAAAAAGGAGGAGACAGAAATATCATAAGCATAATATGTACACGTATACATTTAAATTTTTAGTATAATAATGTGTGATAAGTAGCACAATATTTATGAGTTCTTCCAAGTGTTTATTGAATTCCTAAACAGACAGATATATTCTGTTTATTGGACAGCATGATGAACAAAACACAAAATCCATGCTGTCTTGAATTTCACATTCTATTTGAGAGAGACAGAAAATAATCAGAGTAACAAACCAGTCATATAACACACTAGAACGGTAGTGTTAGGGAGAAAACCACTGCAGTGTAGGATCAATGGGTCAGCCTAGGGAAATTCTTTAAGGGTCACAAAGTGTTGGACACGACTGAGTGACTTTGGGCTTCCCTTATAGCTCAGGGCTTCCTTGCTAACTCGGTTAGTAAAGAATCCACCTGCATTGTGGGAGATCTGGGTTCAGTCCCTGGGTTGGGAAGATTCCCTGGAGGAGGGAAAGGCTGCCCACTCCAGTATTCTGGCTTGAAGAATTCCATGGACTGTATGGTCCATGGGATCACAAAGAGTCCGACACGAATGAGGGACTTCCCATTAAGTGAGGTGGACAGGGAAGACCTGAATTAAAATAGCATTTCATAAAGAACCGGAGGAAAGTAAAGACACAGTGGGAGATAGAAGGAATGGCCACACAAGCGAAGTCACAGGGGAACAGCAAAGAGTGAGAGTAAATAAATGGGAGCTGGAGTAAATAAATGGGAGATGAGGTCAATGGTTCCGGAGAGGACTTTAGGACATTATAAGGAGCTTGCCTTCTACTCTTGAGTAAAGTAAGGAAGGAGAGAGTTTAGAACCAGGGAACAATTAAATGGGAAATTCATTTAAAAAATATTTCTTTGATCTCAGTGCTGATGGTGGAGTGTGAGTGGGACAAGGTGATAGGAGAGAGAACAGTTAGGGAAGTTAAGTGCTGCTAATAATCAAGAAAGCAGGCGTTGATGGTTCAGGTCGGCAATGGAAATGGTGAAAAACAATGGGATTCTGTGTACGTCTTGAAGATGAAATGTTTTCAACTTCTTGATGGGGAATTTGCCCAAAAAGGTATGGGCCACAACAACTAAAAAGTCTTGGTGTTGAATGAAGCATTGGAGTGAAGAAGGAAAGACTCAGTTGTCTCCAGCAGCTAAGCAAAATTAACCAGATGCTGTATCTTAACATTATTTTCATCCCACAGGATGTCCAAGCTGCAGCCGCCTCTCTTTAGGCCAAACCTGCACTCTCAGAGAGCGACAGGAAGGACTGACAGCCAGGTGAAAGAGGACCCCAGGGGTCTATTTTACCTCGAGCTCAGGAACCGGGGGCATTTGTAGTAGGTCTGGAGGGGCCGCATGTGACTCAGGGAGGTTCCCTTCACTGCCACCAGCAACTGCAGCTAGCCTAGTTCTTCAGAGCCACCCAGGGGTGCCCACCCAGGCGCAAGGCCACTGGGTAAGGAGCTACAGTAGAGGGTAAGCCAGTGCCCACAGAGAGGGCTGTAGCTGGGGAAGGCATGGTGAAGGCATCTGTGTCTGACTCTTTGCTACCCTGTGGAGTGTAGCCCACACAGGATCCTCTGTCCATGGATTTCCAGGCAAGAATACTGGAGTGGGTTGCCATTTCCTTCTCCATGGGACCTTCCCAACCCAGGGATGGAATCCAGGTCTCCTGAATTGCAGGCAGATGCTTTAACCTCTGAGCCACCAGGGAAGCCCTCACTGTCTTTCACTTTCACAGTAGATGTGTTGATAAATGAACCTGAATATGTAGACATCCCTAATTCTTAATTCTTAATCTTAAATTTATTTATTTTAGACTGTTCTAAACATCTAATTTTGCTGTGCTTAGTCACTCAGTCATGTCCAATTCTGCAACCCCATGGACAGAGGAGCCTGGTGGGCTACAGTCCATTGGGATTCTCCAGGCAAGAATACTGGAGTGGGCTGCCATGCCCTCCTCCAGGGGATCTTCCCAACCCAAGAATCGAACCCAGGTCTCCCACATTGCTGGCAGATTCTTTACCACCTGAGCCACCAGGGAAATCCAAACATCTAATTACTCATGGTTTATATGTTTGAGTATACCAAAAATGTCTGGAACTCTTGCAGTTGTGTGACAATATCTACTTATATACAGAGAAAAACTCAGACTAAGAGCATAACTTTATCATTACATAAATTTTCTTTGATATTTTGTTGAAAATAGAAAAAGGGGAACTGATTAACTTAATCACCATTTCTAATGATCAAACATTTGTAAACCATTTTATTTCTCTTACCTGAATATTTAAAACATGAACAAGGACAACAAAATAATTACTTTTCATCGTGCTTTAAAAAGTTAGTAATAGGGATTTTGTTACAAATTCTGTTTGGGTAACTATTTTACACCCACCCCCCATTTGCATTAGTAGAGGAGTTACATGCATATATAAAAATTACATATGATTATTAATATTACATCTCTAGTATCTAGAATATTCTGATTTTTATAATAAGTGATCAAAATAATTGATGCATGAAGGAATAGGTGCATAGTTGTCTCATAAAATCAGCATGTCACTGAGAGACATTTTTTCCCCACTATAAAGGAAATTGTAGACATAGAATAATCTGTATATTGGGCATGGCTTTGGGAGAGCATAGTGTAAGAGAAACTTACAGTCTGAGCCCATGATTGTAGGTATACTTTTTAGTTTCAGAATCTCCAAGAAATTAATTATATAACACATCACCTTCATTATCAAAAAATATTAGAGTATCTGATACCAAGGACTGTCTCAATACTTTTAAAAATGATTTCTGTGCAATATAGATTTTATATTGCCAAAGAAGCCTGTTAATCAATCTCTTTAAAAAAGAATTTTTGTAAGCCTGGTTTGAATGATGCTAGAGCTCACTGATTCTTAAAATATATACAAATTGGATGACAAAGTAAATGGCAGAGCAAGTTACTGTCAGTCTGAAATTACCTCAATGAGGATAATTATAAATATTCTAATAAGAATTTTAATTATTGACATATAATATTAATAAAAATAACTAATGCTGGAACTCTTTAAACTACTTTTCAATCAGATGAATACTATAGTTTGAACATAACTAATGCAAAATGCTCATGAGATATACTTTCTTTTATCTTTTCCATTTTTTGCTGATTTTCTTTGAATAAAGCATTTTCTCTTTAGTTCTGCATATATGATCAAAAGTTCTTTTTTCCCTTAAATTTTGTCTTTCTGACAATCAACTTTCTGAGTATGAGAATGGGTTCTTGGAATATAGGAAGCTGACCAACTTAGGCTTTCCTGTGGTCTGATGTGTCACTTAGCTTTTTAATGTAACTGTAATTTTAATTAAAACACATGGGTTGTTTTTCTTTCATGATTATATTACTATGAAAACTAAAACCTCTGTGGTCAGAGGGATGTACGTCTTTTAGCCTGGAAGCTGGGGGAAAAATATCATTCAAGAATATTGAAAAAATTAATTCTGCATTAAGGGTATGTCAATATTGCCCTCTGACTCACTCCAAAAGCATACCATTTTCACTAATTGGAAAGCACACAGATCTTTGGTATTGTTTACGATAACTCGGCAGGGGATGTGACTTCCTAGTGTAGACCCAACAAAGTGCTCCATTTATGAATAAATCATGTTTGGATCTTGAGAAAAGAGGCATCAGTTAGTGGTAGTTGGCTTCCCTGAATCTCAGGAACTCTGGATAATTAAGAGTCAGTACTTTTCCTTTCTATTCAATCATTCATCGACAGAAAAACAGACTTTGTTACAAATATGTAATATGTAATGGATTTCTGGAGACTTTACATAATTACATTGCTGTATCTTAATGGAATATTCAGCATTATTACTGTCATTACGAGCATTTCAAAGTCACTGTGGGAGGTAAGCATATTTTCCATTAAAAGATTATTTCAGTATGAAATCTGTCTGAACTATTATTGCCCATAAACCTGAATAGCACAAATGTCATACAAAAATAAGAAAACGTTTCATTCTTTCAGATTTTCTTTTAGTGAGTTAAAAACAAAATGAAATGACAGCATTGCTGGTGTTTGGGGATATTTAGCATAAAGATGGCCATGTTTTAAATTTTCTTACATGGTAAATTTTTAGGTGATCAGTAAATGACAATCACTTTTAATGTGAAGGGTTTTTCACATATCACAGAATAGTAACACTGATTGGAAAAATAATTCTTATGTAAATCATATGATTTGGTTACTCAATAGTAATTATAACAACTTTGTGTTCTTACCTGCATTCAGTGTAATTTTGTACCAAAATATTTAGTCCCCGGAGAAGGCTTTCTTCCTAGGGGGAAAAAAAGAAGCTAGAGACAAGGTAGTTGTAAAAACTGGTTTATTTTTTAAAAATAAATACAAAAATATAAATATAAAACATTAGCAGATAGAATTTGATGAAATGAAATTGCACAAACGTTTGTATACCAGGTTGCATATCACATCTACTAACACCACATGTACATGTTTTTGTTTTTGTTTTTTAATTTAATGTACAGAACAGGATATACTTTAAAATTTTTCTTCACCTTTTTAAAAGCTTCATTTGCAAGGGCAGGGCATATACCTAACAGAAGCGGCTTGTCTGTGAGGTTGTTTAAGGGAGGACTATCCTGTTCATGATTCTGAAATTATCTTTTATTTCCTAAGATGGACGACACTAAATTTCCATAGCTTTGGCTCTTGGAAGTGATTAAATAAAATGTCGTATATATTCCATGAGACATCCTACAGGGAAGAATTAATGTAATTAATGAACAAATTAAAAAGGAAATGGGGAAAGAAAACTGTGCTGAGTGGCAGGAAAATTCTCCTGGAATATCAAACATTGTGAAGTGGGGACGGTGTGGGTCAAGTTAACTTCCTCTTGCAGGAGCAGAACAGACATCCTAGGTTAAGCGTCTTTGTCGCTTTCCCCGCCGCCGTACATCTCTGCCAGCTTGTTAAACCGAGGGCCCCATTCTCGGAGGTAATCGTAGTTTTGGTCTCCGTCAGTGGTACCTGATTCCAAGGAACTGAGAGACTCGGCGATGGAGTCGTTCCCTTCGTAGGCGTAGGTAGCGAGCGAGTCGTAGGGGGGCGCCGTGGGATCCAAGTCGTGCTCCTTGAGCCTTTCATTGATGAAATCCCGGACGTCCGCGTTATCCGGGGCCGTCGGAGTCCTCCGGGGCATAAATAAGGTTTCTGGAATAATATCTCGCCGCAGCTTCTTTTCCTCAATAGCGGCCGGATTCCTCAAGGTGCCGATATCAAAGGCCTGAGTGTCCTCCTCTCCTCCACCTTCATCATTATAGCTCACGATGTTGTCTCTGATGTCTTCTTTAGACAAGATCAGAGGCTCTTTTTTCCGCTGTCTTTTCAGAGCTGCGAACAGTACTACTATAACTTCAGAAAAGAAAAAGGAAAAAAAAAAAGGTGCATTAGAGATCCGTCTGAAACTCTCTATAAATAACAAGGGGAGGTATTATAAACGAGTTTAAGTTATTTAGGTTTTTCTGGAACAGGTTAGAATTTAGAATTAATTTTGCACTTCCTTAATTTTTTTTTTTTTTTTTTTTTGCAGGGTTGGAGGGGGCCATGGTGAGAGGAGAGGGGAGTGTTGAAGGATTTACTAGCATGGTTAGAGTTTAAGAGCAGTGATTCTGAATTATTTTTAAAGCAATGTGTAAGAGTTTTTGAAATATTGTGACTTGCCTATTTTTCTAAGAACTGTTTAAAGATAGTTCCTGATGGTAGATAACATTTATATTTTGCATTAAATAGTGACATAAGATGTTGTATAAAAAAGACCCAAATCAAATTCAGTTTCAAATAAAACAACTAAGAAGGGCAAACATACGCCCATAGTTTTACATTTGTATGCAATATTAAAAAGGCAGCTTTCTTCACAAGATATAAAGTATTCATATCTGTTAAATAGCTTTGATGATGGATCTATGTACTTTTTTTTTCTTGTGCTATTCCTGGAGCACCTAATTACTGGGGGGGGGGGGGGGGGAGACCACATTATTTAGACATTATTGGCTTAGACATTTACCAGATTTTCCATGGAAATATATATGACTCATGAGATTAAAGAAAATGCTGGATCACATGATGGCAAAGAGTAAATTCAAATTTCTACACTGAATAAACTACAAAAATCATATATGAACCTCAACTCGCCTGTTTGCTCAGTCTCTCAGTCCTGTCCAAACTTTTCGGCCCCAAGGACTGCAGTACCCCAAGCCTCCCGGTCCATCACCAACTTCCAGAGTTTACTCAAACTCACATGTATTGAGTGGTGATGCCATTCTACCATCTCATCCTCTGTCATCCCCTTCTCCTCCCACCTTCACCAGCATCAGGGTCTTTTCAAATGAGTCAGCTCTTCTCATCAGGTGGCCAAAGTATTGGAGTTTCAGCTTCAGCATCAGTCCTTCCAATGAATAGTCAGGACTGATTTCCTTTAGGAACTCCTTGCAGTGCAAGGGACTCTCAAGAATCTTCTCCAGCACCACAGTTCTAAAGCATCAATTCTTCGGTACTCAGCTTTCTTTATAGACTAGCTCTCACATCCACACATGACTACTGGAAAAAACATAGCTTTGACTAGATGGACCTTTGTTGGCAAAGTAATGTCTCTGCTTTTTGATATGTTGTCTAGATTGGTCATGACGTTTCTTCCAGGGAGCAAGCGTCTTTTAATTTCATGGCTTCAATCACCATCTGCAGTGATTTTGGAGCCCCCCAAAATAAAATCTCTCACTGTTTCCATTGCTTCCCATCTATTTCCCATGAAGTGATGGGACCAGATGCCATGATCTTAGCTTTCTGAATGTTGAGTTTTAAGGCAACTTTTACCACTCTCCTGTTTCGCTTTCATCAAGAGGCTCTTTAGTTCTTCTGCACTTTCTGCCATAAGGGTGGTGTCATCTGTATATCTGAGGTATTCCTCCTGGCAATCCTGATTCCCGCTTGTACTTCATCCAGCCCAAAGTTTCTCATGATGTACTCTGCATATAAGATAAATGAGCAGGGTGACAATATACAACTTTGACTTACTCCTTTTTCCAATTTGGAAACAATCTGTTGTTCCATGTCCAGTTCTAACTGTTGCTTCCTGACTTGCATACAGGTCAGGTGGTCTGGTATTCCCATATCTTTCAGAATTGTCCACAGTTTATTGTGATCCACAGTCAAAGTCTTTGGCATAGTCAATAAAGCAGAAATAGATGTTTTCTTGGAACTCTCTTGCTTTTTTGATGATCCAATGGATGTTGGCAATTTGATCTCTGGTTCCTCTGCCTTTTCTAAAACCAGCTTGAACATCTGGAAGTTCACAGTTCACGTATTGCTGAAGCCTGGCTTGGAGAATTTTGAGCATTACTTTACTGGTGTGTGAGATGAGTATAATTGTGTGATACTTTGAGCATTCTTTGGCATTGCATTTCTTTGGGATTGGAATGAAAATTGAACTTTTCCAGTCCTGTGGCCACTGCTGAGTTTTCCAAATTTGCTGGCATTATGAGTGCAGCACTTTCACAGCATCATCTTTTAGGATTTAAAATAGCTCAACTGGAATTCCATCACCTCCACTAGTTTTGTTCATAGTGATGTTTCCTAAGGCCCACTTGACTTCACATTCCAGTATGTCTGGCTCTAGGTGAGTGACCACACCATCGTGATTACCTGGGTCATGAAGATCTTTTTTGTGTAGTTCTTCTGTGTATTCTTGCCACCTCTTCTTAATTTCTGCTTCTGTTAGGTCCGTACCATTTCTGCCCTTTATTGAGCCCATCTTCACATCAAATATCCCCTTGGTATCTCTAATTTTCTTGAAGAGATCTCTAGTCTTTCCCATTCTATTATTTCCTCTATTTCTTTGCATTGATCATTGAGAAGGGCTTTCTTATTTCTCTTTGCTATTCTTTGGACCTCTGCATTCAAACATGTATATCTTTCCTTTTTTCCCTTGCCTTTTGCTCGAAGGGCTTAAACAAACCTTGTGTGCACCATGACCCAGAGACCCTACAGAGACTGAGACAGACCTGTGTTTGAGTGTCTCCTGAGGAGGTATGGGTCAGCAGTGGACTGCTGCAGGGGCAGCGGCTTTAGTTACAGCATATCTGGGTATGGCATAAGCCCTCTTGAAGGAGGTCACCATTAAACCCAGCATAGAGCCACCAGAACTGGGGAAACAGAGCCTTGGAGAGCACAAACAGAACCCTGTGCACCAGGACCCAGGAGAAAGGAGCAGCGACCCCACAAGAGACTGACCCAGACTTGCCTTTGAGTGCCCAGGAGTCTCTGACAGAGGTGTGGGTTGGCAGTGGCCTGTTGCAGGGTTGGGGGCACTGAGTGTAGTAGTGCCTACGTGGGACCTTTAGACAGAGGTCACCATTATCTTCATTACCTCCACCGTAGTTTGGCTGGAGATCAATAACAGGGAGGGAACACAGCCCCACCCATCAACAGAAAATGAATCTCAACTAGATGCATCTTAATAACGAGTATAGATCCACAAGTAGACGTTTGTGTCACTCACACAGGATATTTCCCTACTCCTATGGGAGGGTTTAAATAATAATACACTTATTACTTTTGTAATCATAATAATGGTAAAAGTATGAAAGGAGAAAGTTAAAATCAATTTCCCATTGGGTGTGTTAGTTTCTCACCCTCATTCAGTATTCCAAACATTTAAAGGATATTGGATTTATTACAGGTCTAGACTTAATGAAGTAAACTGAAAGTCACTCAGTCATGTCCGACTCTTTGCAACTATACAGTCCATAGGATTCTCTAGGCCAGAATACTAGAGTGGGTAGCCTTTCCCTTCTTCAGGGGATCTTCCCAACCCAGGGATCAAACCAGGATCTCCTGCATTGCAGGTGGATTCTTTACCAACTGAGCTATCAGGGACTTAATGTATCTCCTACAAATTCACATCTTAAAGCCTAAATATATTCCCAATGTGATGGTACATAGAGGTGCAGTCTTTGGGACGTAGTTAGATCATGGAAGTAGAACCCTCATGAGTGAGTGGGATTAGGGTTCTTATAAAAAGGGACACAATGACTTCCCTGGTGGTTTAGTGAATAGGAGTCTGCCTGCCAATGCAGGGGACACAGATTCAGTTCCTGGTCTGGGAGGATTCCACATACCATGGAGCAACTAGGCCTGGGTACCACAGCTAATGAACCTGCTCTCCCGAGAGCCTGAAACAAGAGAAGCCAACACAATGCAAAGCCCAAACACCACAGCTAGAGAGCAGCCTCCACTTTCCGCAACTAGAGAAAGTCCCCATACAGCAATAAAGACCCAGCACAATCAAAAATAAAATCAATAAGTGAAGTAATTTTAAAAATAAATAAATGAAATTTTAAAACTTAAAAGAACAAATGAGACACGAGAGAGATGATTACTGTCTTCCATGTGAGGATATAAGATGAGACAGCCATCCATGAAAGAGGAAGTGTGCCCTCACCAAACATAACATCTTGGACTCGATCTTGAACTTCCCTCTCTCCAGACTCTGAGAAATAAATTTCTGTGGTTCAAGCTACCAGTCTAAGGCATTCTGGTGTAGCAGCCTGAACAAAGGCAATTATATTATTATGTAAAGTGGCATTAAGTTATGTTTTTCTCTTTTATTATCTTAGAACTGTAAGACTTCTAGCCCTCAAGCTGGTCTAAGAGAGCAAACAAGGGGCTTTTTAAAATGCAACAAAAAAGAAAGTTTTAATCCATTGACAACTGTTCTTGACCTTCAAAGTGATTAAAAAATAAATAGGCCACCACCAAGAGAAAGAAACTGTTTATTCTACAAGTTTTTGAGAAAATATGACCTTTTATTTTGTCTAAATTCATAATTTGTGCCCACACATAAACTTGCGATCTAATGATTTAAAACCTCAGACAGCTTGTTATCAACTAAATGATCTTACACAGTAAGAAAGTTTCTAATAATGAGGATAATTAAATTTACTAAGACTGACTTCAAAATCCTAGTTCATTTCACTGCTTCTTAAAATGTCAGGTACAGTGTTTTTTTTTATTAGGGTCACAGGAATACTCACAATAGTTTTAAGATAATGCAACTAAAGAGTAAGCAATCTGATTTTTAATTCAAAAGCAGTTATAAAGCAATTTGCTCTGGGTTATAGAATCAAATATTGTCCTTTTAGGGACAAGTGAACCAGATAAAGGGTTTTGTTAACATTCAACACTAAAGAGGTATCATAGTGAGGACTTCATGCAACTATAATAAGAAAAAAATAGAAGTAAATTTTACTGAAAAACTATGTACACAGTGACAACAGTGAGGTGCCTGGCCTTGACTTAGCCACTCAGAAATTGTGTAACGTTGCAAAATGTTTTAAATATCTCCAACTTTCAGTTTCATTATTTAAGAATGACAGGTCATGACTTCATCTGCTCAGATGTATTTTAATATAAACAACAGTCTTGGTTAATTGATATCTGGCTTACCCTCGGGGGTTAGTTTTGGGGGAAATATTTTAATAGACGGGCTTTCTTACTGGCTCAGCAGCAAAGAATCCGCCTGCAGTGCAGGAGACCAGGGTTCGACCCCAGGGTTGGGAAGATCCCCTGGAGAAGGAAATGGCGGCCCACTCCAGTATTCTTGCCTGGGAAATTGCATGGACAGAGGAGCCTGGCAGGCTACATTCTACAGGGTCACAAAGAGTCAGACACAACTGAGACACTACCACTTTCAATTTCTTCACTACAAAAGCTTTAGAGGGATTCCATCTTGGTTATTTCCCCCAATCAAGGGGAACTTAGGACTTAGCAACTAAACAACAACAACAGCAATTTTAATAGAAACACTTCTTACAGACACAGTGAAGTAAGCCATCTAGGCAATAAGCACATTTTCCCTAAGCTTTCTTACCCAGCAGAATGATGATGCAGAGGAGAATGGCGATCAAGGCCCCTGTGCTAAGTCCAGCAGGCAGGAGCAGGGCCTCGGCACTGCAGGACTGCATGTTGCCTTGGCTGTCGCAGGCACACACTCGGATGGTGAGTGTGCCCGTGCTGCTCTGAATCGGGTAATCGTTGTCCGAAATCACCACGGGCAAGAGGTAAGTGCTTATTTCATGTCTATTGAATCCATTTTTTCTGGTTAAAATTCTGGCAGTGTTATCTAAAATAAATTTTAACATATTAAAAATAGCTGGGGACAGTGGGTTTGTCTCATCCTGATCACCATGGTTTAACGCATAAATATGATAAAAATAAAAAGGTGTCTTTTTAAAACACAAAATTGCTATCAAATGTATACACGACATTTGGATATAGATAAGATAAATAAGCTAGTTTGAGGAGTCAAGGCAATTCAAATATAAATAAAATAAATAAGATAGTTTGAGGACTCTAATAGCATGATTACTTATTAAATGTTTAACTAATTCTCACACATGTTCAAAATGGTGGATTTTTATAACCAGATCATTCATCAAGACTATAGTGAAGTGAAGTCGCTCAGTCATGTCCGACTCATTGCGACCCCTTTGACTATAGCCCACCAGGCTCCTCCATCCAAGGGATTTTCCAGGCAAGAATACTGGAGTGGGTTGCCATTTCCTGCTCCAGGAGATCTTCCCAACCCAGGGATTGAACCTGAGTCTCCCGCATTGTAGGCAGACGCTTTACCATCTGAACCACCAGGGAAGTCTCGAGATGGTAGCATATGGTTTTTCAGAGTTTTCAAAAAACATAAAATATTATGCATACCAAAGAAAAAAATCATAGTAAATGGTTTTTGTTTATAAATGTATGTGTCCACACACAAAACACACATTAATCTTAATACTCATGAAGAAAAATATTAGGTAGTAGCACTTTTAGAATCAATAATACAGTCAAAAACTTTCAGAAGTCCCAATATATGAAGAACAGTGAGCTAATTACTTAATATTTTTGAGCTTAGATTTCCACCCATTAAAATTAATTCATTGCATAACTTAAATAGCTGGTGGAAGACACTAATGTAAGAGTGCCTGACAGACATACTGAAAGAAGTAGGGACTTAATCTAGCTACATCCTGCTACCTAGTACATTGCTACTGATATTTCCTTTATCTGATAACTCATCCAGTATCCTCAAATTTGGGTTGTGAGTTAATAATATTTCTTCTAGCTCTATATAACAAATACTGAAAAATAAATATACATGGATGATAATTTCACACTCTGTCCAATGTGCTGGGTCTTGTTTAGCCACCCCACAGGACTGTTTAAGATGTCAATGTAGGTAAGGGAATGTTAGGCAATTGCTAGATCAAACAAGAAGCAAAGCAAAATTGTAAAAGTAGAGAAGTGACAATATTTTTGCAATATATTGGTTGAACATAATGTAATCATTTCCTAAATTTTAGCGAGAAGTTAAATCTTACTACATCAGTAGATTACTACATAAGCTAGGAAGTAGACTAGCAAAACAGATATGCACATGCAAATTTAAAATATCAAATGTAATCCTGATGATTTTGTGATTTTGATTTCTCTTACAATAAGTGTTAGGATACAACTCTTCCTTTCACAAACCTACACTAAAATAAATCATTTATATGCATGTGAATATTTTTGTACTCTTCTTGCTTAGACTTTTAACTTTTCAAAAATTTCAAAATCGTAATTTTGCCTATAATAGTTTTGATACGTTAAAGAGCCAAAAGAAGTTTTACAAGCCGCCTGCAATGAGGGAGACCTGGGTTTGATCCCTGGATTGGGAAGATCCTCTGGAGAAGGGAAAGGCTACCCACTCCAACATTCTGGCCTGAAGAATTCCACGGACTGTACAGTCCATGGGGTCACAAAGAGTCAAACACGACTGAGCGACTTTCAGTTTAACCATTCTATACAAATCATTTTATTAAGTATTCAGAAAATCATCATATAATAAAGCTTTTGATCTGTAAATTAGTGAAAAGTGAGAGATTCTTAAGCATGGGATACCAAGTGTAGTATCAAGAGGCGGGAAATGTATTTTTAAAAAGATGGAGAATTAAAATATTTTTAAGATGAGGTTATAGATAAATGCAAGGGTATTTTCTTAAGAAGATCAACTTTAAGATCATGTCTGTCATTGGAATTTCTTTCAAAATTCACCCATTAAGAGAAAATAGTGAATTTATGCAAGATTAAATCAAATATTCCATCAGACTTTACTGGTATTCTAGTTAGTTATGTTCAGGTTTGTATTCATATGGCTTTAGCCATAGGATCAGGAACTTTACCTACTATAGGAAAATGGTACTATTTATCAGAAATTAATTAAGATTAGCCTTGAATTGTTTCCCCAGTTACTGTGAAATGCTGTGATAAGACAGTACTATTTCAAGTCTCTATTCCTTTTTAAAGTTGAGAGGTGGCTTGTTGAGATCCAGGGCTCAGTTTAACAAGAATATAAAACAAGTTAAAATACAATTAGAAAGAGGTTCAATATTGTCAACTCAGGACAAAGAGTGCCACATCTAAATTCTATGTTTAAGTTACCAGATTCAGCAAATTAAAATGATGGGTGTTGTTTTCCTGATATTCAAATGTAATTGGGCATTTTGCATTTTATCTAACAATTCTATGTTAATTTTTCCAATCCAATTATTTTAGGTGTCCAGAGGGGTAGAATGGCTTCCCTGATGGCTCAGGCAGTAAAGAATCTGGCTGCAATGCAGGAGACCCAGGATCCATTCCTGGGTCAGGAAGATCCCCTGGAGAAGGGAATAGGAACCGGCTTCAGTATTCTTGCCTGGAGAATCCCATGGACAGAGGAGCCTGGCAGGCAAAGTAGTCCATGGGGTCTCAAAGAGTCGGACACGACTGAGTGACTAACACACAGAGGGACAGAAAACACAGACATTTCAGAAGCTCAAATTTAGTAAACAGATGTTACCAACTGATGCACTCTCTTCAACTGCTTTGTGCAAAAATCCTATGATATTAAAAATGAGTAGTTGCTCAATGTAAAACTATCCATTATCCTAAACTGCTTTCTGACATTCTGAAAGCCAACCAGATGTACTATAGCAACCTCCCTCTGCCAGTATACATATAGGGAAGGTATTGTACATATGCCAATGTAGTTATTATATTTCTTGTAAGAATATATAATTATATCTATAGCAGCTCTAGAACAACATGCCTGTTTCACTTCTGCTTTTGTTTTTTAAAGAACTCAGTAAACATGTTTAGTATTTTTGATCACATATAAAATGCATATGTTATATAGGAAAATAGTGTATCTTGTCTTGCCAACTATGTTTATGTACTCAATTCCCTCACAGGCTAACATGGCTGCTTTTTTCTTTCTTTCTTTTCTTTTTTTTTTTCTTTTGTCTCTTCTAGGCCTTTAGACTTTGGTGAATCTGTTGCTGCTAAATCTCATTGAAGTTTCCACAAGAGTCTCACCAAGACATTCATTTTCCTGTGTGTTCCACTATTTTGTTATAAGAACTGATTATTTCTGACCTTTCTGAAGTTTGCAAGATCAAGTCTTTTCATTAATACCCATATACTATCTTCTTTCATGTATTTTATGATTTAAAATTCAACAGTGTAAATTCTGTTAAGTAAGAAATTACCAAAATATCTTATTAAAAATGTAATGAAAACAAACCTTTGCAAATAGATCTATAAATTAATATATCATGTATATGTAGCTGTTAATTTAGGGAAAATTTCTTAAGTCACCTTAAATCATAATGAACACATTCCAAAATTTACCTTCATTGTCTTGTACTGTGAAGTTTGGATTGACAGCAGCTAAACTGAAGAAAAATTTCTGTCCACCTAAAGGATCATCTTTGTCTACTGCACTTATAGTCTGAATTAGCTGAAGAAGAGAAAAAAAAAGTCCATTTATCAAACTTCCATGGCTAGAATCTTCTTTATATTTAAGTTTTAATATCCAATTTGTCTAACATTTTTTAAAGACAATTATCTTCTTCCTTATAAGCATGCATCTTTATTTCAGTTCTTCTATCCTTTTATTACACAACAGCAACACTCTGTCTTTCACTCTCCTCGATTTTGTTTCTGTCTCTTAAATTTTCTCACTGTCAATGTCTCCTAAACACTATCCATTTTTAAATTAAAATAATGAGCAATAACATAGTATTCTTTATAGCTTTAAGAATTTAGATATAGCATTTGAAATAAGTAGGTATTTCATATATGTTTAAACATTTATCTAGAAGAGTTATTTAATGTAGGAAAATTTAGAGTTATTATGATTATAGCTTTCTTCTTCATCAAAAATAGAGTGAAAACTATTCAAAGAATGTAGAGATTTTATAGAATCATTATGCATAACTTTATAAAGGAAAGACTAACATCTATTTTTAGAGTAATCATTCAGTTGCACTCTCAATGGAATTATATATTTTTTGATTCAACATATACATACTATGGAAAATGGTTATTTTACAAGGGTTAGCTCTGATTTACTTCAGGATAAGAAAATATAAAAGGCTATCTAGTAACAAAGTAGAAAATTTAACACCTTATACAATGATCATATCACTACTTTGAATATATTATATAATAATTTATATTATACATATATAACAGCTATATATTTTTGCATAAACATATGTTTTTCCTTAACTTATGTGTATAATAACATTTTATGTGTTTTTTGCATATTTTTCTAGAAGGTTTCAAAAGTTGTTAAATATGTGTATCAATGACTCTATAAATGGTCAAATTTATTCTTAAAGGAATATACTTTTTACTGCATTAACTCGATTTAATATTACATGGATATTTGATGGAAATATTTGTTACTGGTGTTTTATTGATTAAAAAGGGAATTTTAAGCTCTGGGAGTTGGTGGATGGACAGGGAAGCCTGGTGTGCTGCAGTCCATGGGGTCGCAAAGAGTCGGACACGACTGAGTGACTGAACTGAAATTAAGTTTAAAGCTGTAAAATAATTAGAAAAATAAATTATGAAAAGTACTCTCTAATTATTTACTTTGAAGTGATGCAAGAAATATAACTGGACCAAACAAAGATAACTATTTATCATTAGAAATGAGTAGCAGAAAAAATTTTAAACTTGAAATAATTCAAAAAAATATAACATCACTTTATGATTTTTAGTGGTAATTTAAGATTAAAGCAAGAATTTGTGGCTAAAGACTTATCCATTTAATAAAAACATAAAGATGGTACATATATAAAGCAATTAATACAATCTTTCAGAGTTTGCTCAAACTCATGTTATTGAGTCAGTGATATTAAATATTATTAAAATATATTTTACTGACTAAAGGAGTAAGGCATGCCTGAGAGAAAATGGAAGAAAGAAAAATAGCCAGTCCTCTCTTCTGCCCTTTCTCAAGGTCCTCTGACTGTGAAATGGAAAAAAAATGGGAGTCTAGTTGCCTCATTCAAGCATTGTTGTTGTCCAGTTGCTAAGTCATGTCCAAGTCTGCGACCTCATGGACTGCAACACACCAGACCTCTCTGTCCCTCACTATCTCCTGGAGTTTGCCCAAGTTCATGGCCATTGAATCTGTAATGCTATCCAACCGTCTCATCCTCTGCTGCCCTCTTCTCCTTTTGCCTTCAATTGTTCAAGCATAAGAAGGGACTAGTCATGCATGTAAATTACATCCTTTTCCCAGGGGGAAAGTCTTCTACCCTTCAGATGGGGAATAGACAAGAAAAGAGTGCTGTGCGTGCTAAGTCGCTTCTGTTGTGTCTGACTGTGCAGTCCTTTGGACTGTAGCCTGCCAGGTTCCTCTGCCCATGGGATTCTTCAGGCTAGAATAATGAAGTGGGTTGCCATTTCCTTCTCCTAAAGAATCTTCCCTACCCAGAGATCAGGGATTGAACCCATGTCTCTTATGTTTCCTCATTGGCAGGTTGGTTCTTTGGCACTAGCATCACCTGGGAAGCCCCAAGAAAGGAGGAGGGGTGGCAATTAGCTTTATTTCTGTCTTATTGGGGCTTCCCAGGTGACGCTGGTGGTAAAGAATCCACCTGCCAACGCAGGCAGTGCAAGAGATGTGGGTTTGATCCCTGGGTAGGGAAGATCCCCTGGAGTAGGAAGTGGTAACCTGCTCCAGTATTCTTGCCTGGAAAATGCCATGAACAGAGGAGCCTGGCAGCTACAGTCCATAGGACCACAAAGAGTTGGACATGACTGAGCAACTTAGCACACAAAACATACTCTCACTGTGTCCACACTCCAAGTGAATGGAATTATGTTCCATGTTGTTTAAATGCTGCTCTCAAAGAGCACTTAATTCAGAGAAGTACTGCTTGGACTGAACTACTCTATAAATAACTAAAGCAAATCCAGAAGTCCCCCAAAGCTCCTACTTTCCTGGAAGGAGGGAATACAGACTTAACAAATTAACTTCAAGAAAGTTTCAGTAAGGAAAGACTTTATCAAATAACTATTTGATTTTGCCTGCTAGAATGATGTAACCTAGAATTCCATCAGTGAGTATTTAATAGTTTAGTTCAAGCAAACATGTTTCTGCCTATGAGACCAAAATGACATCTAACAAGCTGGTCTTATTAAAAGTAACTAATATAGGAGGGTTTTGCACATGCAGCCAATTAGACAAAAATTAATAATCATATTTTTCCTGTCAAGTTTGTCAAAATAGACTAGTTACTTTTTAAAATTAACATCATCTTTGATTTGATTATTTTCCCTCAATATACCGACTTGTTTTTAAAAGTTCAAAGAACATGAATTTACTGAGCCAGATAAAGTTTCAAAAAAAGATAAAAAGGCATAAGGAAAATAAACAAACACAATCCTTTATTTTGTGTCTTTCAAATACATTTGGGGATGAATACTTATGATGACTCAAATGCTCTGAAAAGATATCTCTTGAAAATCAAATAGAATAACCATAGAGGGAGCAATGTATGCAGCAGTTTCAAAGTGGGTAATTCATCTCCTACAGAAAAGGCTTCAACTTATATCATGCTGAGCCTGCCAAGCAAAGAACTATTTGGAATGGTATTTTTAGGGCACACTGCTTCATGAAGTAGGTCGGAAGTAGCTAAGTCCTTTAAATATTCCAAATTAAACATTTCCATAACATTTTCAACTAAAAAGAAAGAATCCAATTGCAGCAATTTTACCACTTCAGACAATAGACAGGCTATTGAATTCCTGTTAGAATCTTCCAAAGGAAGAATTTATTTCACAATATAATTTGCATAAAAATGTAACAATGACATTGATGTTTATAAAGAGCATCAAACGAAGTCTAAACACAATACAGTTTCGTAATGGCTTCTCTTTCTTTAATAAAACACGTTTGATTTCCAATTATTATTTATAACATGCAGCTCCCTTCTGTGAAAACGGCACTCAAACCAATTAAGAGCATTTCTTTCAACCATACAGGCTGGCGCTTTTCAAACAACAGAATGAGTCCACTGAGGAAAAGATTTGAAGAGTTATAAACAAAGCCGGTATAGGAAGAATGTTTTAAAGGACGAAAACCAAGTCATTAGCACTTTATGTGTTGCTGTAATGATGAAACCCAAGTCTAAGCCTTAGGAGCGAGCTCTTTTGCCCTGCTCCAAAATTGTATTTGCATATGTTGGAATAGTGATGGAATGTTTTGATGATCTCAAGTATTTGTGTTTTCCCCAATTTTCATTTCCTGTCTTGCAAGCAGTTACCAATAGTTATCTAATGGCACATCAGCATTTCTTTTCCCTTTTGTTTATTCATTTGTCTTTGTTTTTGAAAGTTAAAAAGTTATTTCCTCTTACACTTTAAGTTTTGCAGCTACCACTTCATATCTGCCTGCAATGCAGGAGACTCAGGTTTGATTCCTGGGTCAGGAAGATCCCCTGGAGACGGGAATGGCTATCCACTCCAGTATTTTTGCCTGGAGAATTCAATGGATAGATAAGCCTGGAGGGCTGCAGACCATGGTGTCTCAAACAGTTGGACACAGCTGAGCGACTGACACTAACTAACTCGGCTTTGCTATTTGTTTGTTCTAATTATATTGCTGGGACTTTCAATGAATGATTTTATCTCTGTTTGCTCATTCCTTTCAAGATTAGGAAAAGAAAAATATTTGAAGGCCCCATTCAAAATCTTCCTATGCTTTTAAATCCAATGGGTGCTTACCTGTCCTGGTCTGGCATTTTCACAGACAAAAGTGTCATAGAACACAGCAAATTGTGGGGCATTGTCATTAACATCCAAAATTCTCACGAAAACAGCCACTCGAGTCATCTCTTTGGGATTGTCTAGAAAAAGGAGAGGAAAAATTTGTTTAGGAAGACACATTTGTACACCAGATTTAATTTATATAAGCATCTTGTAGATATTAAGTGCTCATATTCAAATAAGCATCAACTTCATTCTACTATCATAAATGAACAAATGCAATAAAGAAAATTACTACAGAGCCTAATTAAGTAGTCATGAATTCAGTTAATATTGGGCTCAAGAGTACTATTAATATTTTGAAAAATCTTTTTAAAAGCACAATCCAGTGTAATAGATTTCAAATAATATTTGTGTCTTTGCTCTCCAAATGCACAATGTAAGAACAAATATTTATTAAACCTTTATTATACATCATTAGATTTCCTAATTTATACCTTTTTTTTCTTTTGGATAAAGAGTGGTATTAGATAAATCAGTAACTTGACTGAGGTCATCTTCTATGTGGTAGTTGTTAATTACAACCTACCCTTCTGACTACTTTTATCACTAAAATATATTTCAACAGCTACTGTTAACTATCCTTTTGGAAATCTTACTATATACCTTATATAACTATATCAAATTGAATGGAAATTTATAATGAAACACAAGATTTTAAATGTTTCATTAATAAAATTGTTAATTGTACCATTTCATCAATACAAGCTCAATTCTATATAACAAAATTAGTTCAATAGTTACATGTAGTATAATAATCATGATTTTTTTTTTTTGCCAAAATCAAGATCATCAAAGTTTTCACATAAAAACATGCATTTAAAAATATGTTTTGATTTGTAAATGTAATTTTAAAACATGCCTATTTAGCTTATCCTTGGGTAACAACCTCATATTAATAATAACTTTATTTTCCCCTCCAAGGATTTTTCCAGGAACTTGCACTGATATCCTGAGAGTGTTTGGGCATCTTAAATTAAGGTTATAGTCATCAGCCTTCATGATCACAAAATCTCAGTCTCTGGATATAGTTCAAATTCTTTGTGAACTTTGGCAAAATCAAACTCAAGATCAATATAAAAGAAGAAAGGAGTAATTAGCTAAAAATAAAGCAAAGCAAAAAAAAAAATAGTCGATCTGGGGGATAGTAACCATCTTATTAAATGGCTTCTATCTACATGGGTTATGAATAATGATTTTCCCTTTGTGAAATTTATTTGAATTTCTAATTTTATCTAAATAATTTTCAGATACAAGGGTCAAAAAAATCTTCTCAGGTACAAACAGGGAGTATATTACTACACAAAAGAATTTATTTCTCCTTCCTTTTCTTCATGTAATTATAATGCAACTAAAATAATATAATCAGCAGTTTCAAAAAATAACATCTAAGAACTAATTGTTTGGCAGGGAGGCAGACAGAATTCTAAATCCATTTGAAATGGATTTCCTTTCTTTCCTCTTTTCAAGAGAAGATTTAAAACACTTCCCCTCTTTAACACTATTGTTCAGTCCTCCTTCAACCTTCTTAACCCAAAAATATTCAGCTCTCGGGTTCTAATTTCATATTTGCTCATCTATTGCTACATGTTTTTCACTTCTTAGTATGTCAGGTGGTTATTAGAGTTTAGACTCTGGGGTCAAACTTGATTCCCAGGTTCACCATTCATTCAGTGTTTAACTCTGTCCAGTTTACACTCTTCCTCTAATGCCTCAGTTTACTCAACATGAATCTAAATAGAACTTTTGATCTTATGAAGTTATTTGAATAATTATGTGAGTGAATATAAGAAAATTTCTTATCAAAGTATCAATTTGTTGATAAACACTCAACATTAATATACCTTGTTATCAGGGGCTTCCTTGATAGCTCAGTTGGTAAAGAATCCGCCTGCAATGCAGGAGACCCCGGTTTGATTCCTGGGTTGGGAAGATCCCCTAGAGAGGGGAAGAGCTACTGATTCTAGTATTCTGGCCTGGAGAATTCCATGGATTGTATAGTCCATGGGGTCGCAAAGAGTCAGACATGACTGAGTGACTTTCACTTTCACTACACATTGACTATTGTTATTAAAATCATCTTTATTATCACTGTTATGTCTTCTTCATTTCCTTACTTTGTTTAAAAGCTTAATCTATCTTTCTCCATACAAAGCATCTACACAACAAAAATACATCAACTAGTTTTCTTACAGTTCATGTGGGTCTCAGGAGGAGTAATTGTGGGGAAAAGTGGAGAGAAGAGAAAAAAGAGAAAAATGCTATTCCACTATTTTCCTACCTTTCTTATTCCTAAACCATTTGCTAATACCCAGAAGCATAGTGATTCACCTATAAATGAATCCTCAACTACCCAAAGTTACTTGTTGCTATGGGGAAGAGTGGGGAAGTATGATTCATATTTTCTAGAATGTGCTCTTTAACCTACTTTTATAGTTAGTGGACATAAGCAAAACGTTTTCTTTCAATACAAAGTTTTGACATAAAAATAACTCTTTTGTTGGTAGCAATTCACTCTCTAACTGTGCCATAGAAGCCAAGAAAGACAGAAAATTTCACATCTAAAAAATTGCACTGTCAGTCCCTTCCCTAACACAATACAGAGATTCTCCAGCCTCTCTACACATAACTCAAGGCTCTTCAAATCAAAAGCTAAATCCACAGGGATAAACATGCTTTGTAAAGCATCAGGCCTGGAGTCATCTATTCAAAAAAAACAGTGCTTACACTAATCTTTTTACTGGCAGATGTGGCAGCTTATGTATAAATCAAAATATAAAGCCTTCCCAGGAAGCATCATACTGAAGAGGAGCCGGCTTATATTTACCACCTGAGCCTCTCGGTCATCCGGCAAACTCTAGTGTAGCGAGAACTTGTGAGCAATATAGGATCTTAAAATCTATGTCCTAAGGTAAAACCATGCCACATATTCACAGGCTTTTCTATACCCCCAGGAAGAAGAAAATATAAATCACCATCTAGAAATGCCAGGCTTTAGAAAGAAGTAATTTTTTGTACCTCCTTAGGGCAAGAGTTTCCACTAATAAGGAAGCAGATAGAGAAAATGGAGCCCTTAGTCAGAAACTTTGTTCTACTGTTCTCAGAATGTATTGCAATGCTTATAGTTTAATTCTTAGATATGGTTATAGGAACTCATTGATTTCTACAACCATGTGTTTTACAATCCATGATTGTGACCTTAGTTTTAGATTTTATATTCTCTATATGGCATTTTTTTTTCCCAAAAAGAATAAATGACTCCATGGTATAATGCACTAAGTGATTGCCTAGAATAAAACTTGCCATATGATAGGATACACTGCTAAGGAATGTAGAATTAAACTGTTAGAGGCAGGGTCTGGAAAAACATTGATAAGAAGTATATTTTTTGGTCTTTCTGCACTGTTCTGGATGAATGGCACAGTTACCAGTGTTCAAAATCTAGCAAAAACAATGCCCTATATGCTGTTTCCCTCTCACCCTCGTTCCATTTAATCATCAGAACAGCATGATGGGCCCCTCACTGTGTGTGGTTTGGCAGGTAGGCATTTCCAGCAGTTACTCCATAGACTGGTTTTATTTAAGGGCAGAAAGTAGGTTTAGTTCTTAAAACAAAGAACATAATTGACTTAGCTTTTTACAGAACCGTAATTATTTCAACTAGCTTTAGAAGTTAAATTTCTCAAAGTATCTGAAATGGAAAATGCAGTTCCTAGCTCATTAGGCTTGAATAAGGAGCTTGACTAGAGCAGAGAGCACAAACAATCATGATTCTGGAATAATCAGACTGGATCCTGTCAGGCGCATTTAACATTGTGATATGGATACAGATACAAAAATAAAAGCTTTCCTTAAGAAAACCTCACAAATTCTTCAGTTCACCCTGAGAGGTACAGCCATTTATATTTCATTATGGAAAAACTGGATTGTTTGGATGGTAGGCTTCATCTATATTTCAGAGCCAGATGTAAGAAAAAAATTAAGTCTAGTACTTTCTCTTGAGGCATAAAGTTCATTGCTGATGATAAGTCTAGTCCAGCTCCATCCTTCTGAGGCTTGCTATTTCAGCCCCAGTGCCCTGCCTTCCAAATCTTGGGATGATTACTTCAAATAACTTGACCTTGATATGTATTTGTGGATTCAGCTTACTTTTTCAGACCTGAAATGTATAGTCTTTTTTTTTTACCTCATGATTGAGTCTCTAATTAATGCTTCTATTTAAGACAGAGTTGCTCTATTCCATGCACATATCATAATACAAGAATCAGAAACCATGAACAGGTTTGCATGTGTGGACAGGCCCTGCTTCAGGGACATGTGCAATTGAGCAGGGCCTCACACTCAGAAGGCCCCACTCTTATGTAATGTTCTGCTGTTGACATCTGAAATTTCTTCATCATATTTTAACATGAGGCCTAAGATTTTCATTTTACAATGAGCTCTAAAGATTATGTATCCCAGTCCTGTATATGGGTAAGAACATCTGCAATTGAAGACAGATAAGACTTCGAATGTGTCTCCCAGTTCTTTACCTCCTAGGGTAAAGAACCTGCCTGCCAGTGCAAGGGACACAAGAGATGCACGGGCTCTGTCCCTATGCTGGGAAGATCCCCTGGAGGAGGGTATAGCAACCCACTCCAGTATTCTTGCCTGGAGTGTCCCATGGACAGAGGCACCTGGTGGGCAACAGTCCATAAGGTCACAGAGACCTGGACACGGCTCAAGTGACTTAGCATGCACGCATGACTTTGAATGCTGGCTCTGTCTGATACTAGTTGGGTGAACTTTTGTAAATTAAGTATAGAATTAAGTATTAGATATAAAAACAGAATGACTAGTTTCAAATCCCAGTTTTATTACTTCTGGCATTGTGACTTTGGATAAGTTACTAAAATCCCTGGAGTCTTACTTCATTCTCTGTTAAATAAGGTCAATACAAATATTAGGAAGAAAAAGTTGACTTAAATTTCTTAGAATACCTGTTTAGAGTGCTTAATGTTAGCTATTATTATGGATGCCTTTGTTTCTTCACCTGTTTAAAAGAATTAATCATATCTATCTCTGTGTTTATTGTTCAAGAATGGACTTCCAGCATTTCAGCATAAATTTTAATTCATAGTGTCCATGCGATGAATTTAATGCATTTCACTTTCTCACAAAGAGAATATCTTTAGTTTCTAATTCTAGATCATTTTTATTAGTTAACACTAAACGTAGATCTGTGGATGCCCATAGCTATTTCTCAGTATATATAGTAGAAACTACTGAAAAAAATTATAGGTGTTAAGGAGTCTTTTCAAATGTTAGATTAAAATTACAATTCATTTGTGCAATGAGATGGAATTATTCTTAATATAAAATAAAACCTAAAATTATGCTAAATACGATATACGTAAAATTCATCTTACTGATTTCAGCAGCTATAACAGTAAGATTGTGCCACTGAGATAGTTCACGGTCAAGTGGCTTTGATGTATAAAGGGATCCATTTCCAGAATGTATGTTAAAGATCCTGTCAAGGTCAGTATGGCGATCCAAGGAAAATCTGAACATAGAGGGCAGAGAAAAATACATGGCAGTATTATTGATGGCTTGCAGGAGAAAATGGTGAAATGCAGAGACACACATATAGTGATATTTAATAATTTTAGGAAAGTGCAAAGTACTGATCCAGAATGCAGACTGTGTCATGGATTTATCATAGACACACACACACACACACACACACACACACACACTTACACACATTGACTCTCTACCATCTCCCCAAAACCTCTTCCTAAGGCCTGAATTAACTTTTACTGTGCATTTAAATGCTGGTGTTCTGAATGTTTTATGTTATTAAGTCATTACATATTGCATATTTAACTGATCCTGATGTACTTTTTCCACAAAGCTTAGAATTACAAGTTTTACCCTACCAACTGAATTTACCTAGTGATTGGTAATCCTATTAGAGAATTATTACATGGGTCAAATGCAAAAGATCATTCCCAGAAGCAAAGTTTTGGAGTAAGAATATTGGAGATGTTAATTTCCTCAGAGTAGTAGGTCACCAATTTATGACAGTGTTCCAAAGTTTCAAAGTTTCAACATGATACCTGGTTTACTTCAGTTTCTTACCTACATGTATCACTATAAAATGTACACATTTTAGCCAGAGATATTTTGAGTAGAAAAGTTTGGGACAGGCGTTTCTAGATATTTTATCAAATAAAATCTTAGTGTATGTAATAAAAAGACAACTATTCTGCAAATTAATTAAAGGCATAGTGTTGAGTGTTATTCCAAAGCCTAACAACAGGTTTATCCATCAGGATGATGTAGTTGGTATAAATCCCATTATTTTGGAGATTGTCAGTCAAGGTTTAAAAGAGTAACTCTCATTGGTGGTTCCTGCCACGTCACACTCCTAGTAGTTTATGAATATTTTGAAATTCTGGAGGTAGCAAGCATAATCCCCCAAGTTAACTTTAATGTTCCCTATTAAAACATTTTTAAAATAAAACAAGATAAACATGACAAAACTAGGAGTAATATGTTATGGCACATATTTCCCTAAGCTATAACTGTCATTTATTTAAGGAAAGTATATGAAATAGCATTTTAAATTATATTTTATAAGTAATAATACAAAATAATTCTGCAAGTGCCATAAAACACTTTTTATTCTTTTCCTGTTCCAAACTTGTATAATGTTTCCAAAAAACTGTTGAAATATATGATCTTTATGTTGGATTTTGAATAAATTGCATTAGAAAAAGAATTTAACATACCAATACAGTTAATGTGATTTTATGTTTGAGGATGGCATATTTTAGATTTTTATTTTAAATCTGTTCTAAGTAGAATAGACTAGTAATTTATAGATTTCCTTAATAAACCCCAGCCCTTTCTAACAACATAACATGAATTTAGTTTTCTATTCAAACTACATGTTTTATCCATTCACAAATAAATCAAAATATTATATCTGAAATAATTCATAAATTACATTTCAAGTTAACAAAATTTTTACACTACTGAAAAATCCAACATAAATTTTACCTCCTCCTTGGAGTATTCCATTATTACCTGAAGTAGAAGCTATCTGTCCCCTTCCATCCTAAAGCACCTTGTCATTTACCATATTGTATTAGGAGTTCATCTCACATCTCAAACAGGAAATCAGACATGAAAACAGCAAGTATCATACTTAGTGTCTAGTACATACTCAATGAATATTATTTCTCACACTGAATCTACTTTCTTAACAAACTGAGACTTTCTTGAGAAACATTTTAGTAACTGATATGGTCACCCACAAATATTTGTTGAATAAAAGAAATAAGGATGCCTTTGGCATTTTGGCAAATAATAAATATCCTTATTTCTATAGAATTATGGCAGGAAATGGAAGGTTGTCAATCAATATAAAGTATCATTTTGTTTGCCAAAGCCATTTTATATGTGTTTTGTCTTTTTTTTGTGTAGTTCAGTTTAGAAAACAATGATAAATTAAAATGATTATGTAAAATTATCTGGAAGATAGAGAGACCCTCCTTCTTTTTCACAGTTGACATAATTATTGCTGACTCTTGAACAACATGGGTTTGAATTTTACGTGTCCATTTTTACAACAAATACAAACTACAGTATGCATTTATTAAAATAAATAAATTTGAGGTTGACTCTTCATATGCAGAGCCATGGATTCAGAGGGCCAGCTGTGAAGTTATACTCAGATTTTTCACTGCATGGGAGCAGGGGAGATTTACACCCCTAGTCCCCAAGTTGGTCAAGGGTCAACTGCATATTTTTCAATTCTCTATTGATAAATTCTATGTATTATCTAACATTTTCATTTTAGAAATCAGTTCCAGAATACATATTTTAGGTAAATCCTTTTGATTATTGCATTAGCATCCATGATATATGACATGGACAGTTTATAATATGACCAGTATTATCCTATTGTGTGTGTGCATGTGTGTATGTGTGTGCATTCAGTAGTGTCCAACTCTTTGTGACCTCATAAACTGTAGCCCTTTGGCTCATCTGTCCATGAAATTTTCCAGGCAAGAATACTGGAGTGGCTTTCCATTTCCTACTCCAGGGGATCTTCCCAACCCAGGGAGCAAACCTGGGTCTCTTATGCCTCCCACATTGGCAGGCAGGTTCTTTACCACTAGCACACCTTGAAAGCCCCATTATCTACTTCTAAATGCATTGGTTTAGTAAAATTACTTTATTTCTTTGATTATATATAAATATATGCACACACACACACACACATATATATATAATCTGCACAGTATATCAAGATTAACATCTAAAAATATTCATGTTCATTTTCTGCCTTATTAGTATAAATTCAAATATATAACAAAGAACATGGCTAGACTCTGTCATTAATAAACAATGAAGTCATTAATTCTGTTGCTTAGTAGATATCAATGGATTTTTTTTCTCCTGGTCCATAGATTTGCATCCTGATGAAAAATTTAATTAAAAAAGAATCGACAGACATATTTTAACATATAATAACCATTAGTCTATAAGATGGGGCTTCCCAGATGCTGCTAGTGGTAAAGAACTCACCTTCCAATGCAGGAGACGTAAGAGATGTGGATTTGGTCCCTGGGTTCAGAAGATACCTGGGAAAAGGAAATAGCAACCCACTCCAGTATTCTTACCTGGAGAATCCCTTGGATAGAGGAACCTGGCAGGCTACAGTCCCTGCAGTCAGAATCTATTTCATTAAGTGGAAATAGATCTTTATATCACCACCTTATAATGTCACTAGACATAAACTGAACTTTTTAAAAACACTATATTTTATTTTAAAAAGGCTCTTTGAAAACTAGAAACACAGAACATAGGCTGTTAAAGTCAGTTAGGAGGATTGTCAAGAGAATGCTTGTTAAGTATTTAAAAGGGAAAAAATAAAAGTGTATATTCAATAAATGTCTACCAAATGACAAAAAAAAATCTTAAAAGGAAAAAAAAAATCCAAGGAATGCAGCAATTTTAGTGAAGACAAATGGATGGGAGAAAAGACGTTTATGAGAAAGTCATGCTGGCAGGTGGGAGCTATACTTGAGTACCATATGCAAGTTTTGGATGCCAATATGTAACCTGTCATGCTGTATGTGACTATAAGAAAATGTTTAGGTAAAATTATATAAATTAAATAGTAATTTATATATATATATATGTGTGTGTGTGTGTGTGTGTGTGTGTGTGTGTGTGTGTATGAATGACTGCACTTAAGATATGACAGGACTTAGAGAATTTAAACTTTGAACTAGAGTCACACGGCACATAAAATTAGATATTCCCAGAGTTCTGTTGCTGCATAGTTGGGAGTCAGAGAGGTGTGTACTTGGAAACTGTACAACCATTTGAACTTCTACTTGACTGGCCCACATTGTAAAAAGGGTAACCAAAACCCATCTGCTCAGGATTAAGGAAGCAAACGGAATCCAAAACAACTGATGGGGAATCCAAAACAACTGATGGACTAACAGCTTAAAGTGAGCAGTCATTTTGATGCTGAATATTGTACATATAAGTACCTGGTACAGTTTTAAAAATGAGAGAACAAATGTCAAAGAAGACTTTGTCCTTCTCATTTATATCTGTTTATCACATCTTATGTGTTTTTTTTTTTTTAATCTTTTTTTTTTTTTATCTTATGTGTTTTTAGGGGCCATAAGAAAACAAAGCAAAACAAAAATTTGAAATTACTCTGATCTTTCTAGAATGTTCTAAATTGTCTGATATAACCAAAAGAACAAACAAAAACTTTCCCCTTTGCTGGTAGGAATACAGAAGAGTTTATAAAATCATAGTGCCTTATGACATTGTTATGATCATATTCATTTTAATTACTAAAACCTCTCTCAACCTCACATTTTATTTAAGAACCCAAAAATACAAATAAATTGATTTGGTTACACTGCAAATGCACAGCTGAAAAACATCTCCTTTACCTGTATCAGGCGTCAGTCAGAACAATAAATACCTTAAAGAGATGGGAAGATGATGCAAGCCAGTTTTCAGTAACTGGCATGATTAAAACCGAAGAAAACTGTGAAATTTATGCATACCCTGCCCCAGAACATAAACAATTTATTTTAAATATGTGTGCTCAGCAAATGTATGCACAGCTCTTTCAGTGTATCAAGTGCTTTAAATAAAATTTCATCATCTCTCCATTTACTTCAATTCCCTTTCTTTTCATTGTAAGCATAAGCATACTTACCTAATGGGGCTAGAAGTAGAATCCGGGTCCCTTGCCATCACAGTACCAATGATTGTACCCACTTCAATATCTTCATGAACCTCAAACAGATAGGAGGATCTGCTGAAAACAGGGGGTTCATCCACATCTTCAATAGAGATTTTCACAATTGTTGTATCTTTAAAAGGTCCTAGGTAATAAAAACGTGGGTCCACATGGGTATTTTCTGCTTCAACCTTCAGAGTATAAAGTCTTCGGCTCTCATAGTCAAGTGGCTGTATTAAGAATAAATAAGTAAATAAATCATCAAATTAGATAGAAGGAAATTGAATCATATGTCCTTTCCAAGTTACAGTGTGACTTTTAAAGCCTAGTTGAGTTCTGTCAAGTTGTTCATTAACTGTGAATAAAGTAATTAAAATATAAAATATAAAATAAAACTACTTTTACACATCAGGCTGAATTCAGTTTTATTTTCCTGTACTTGAAATGTAGTATATCAGAACATAAGAAAATGAGAATCTAAATCTCAGAAAAATTGAAAAGGATATTAATATCTATCTTATGTGATGGCAACCCATTATAAACAATGTGTTGGTGGACTGTGTGTGTGTTTATGTGTATATATGTGTGTGCTGAGTCGTTGGCTACAGCTAAATTTTTTGAAGCAAAAAATTCAGTAATCTTTTAAAATATTTGCTGTGATATTTCCATTCTGTTTAACAGACTCATGGTACTACATAAATTTGATGAAAGTTTGAAGACTAATACAAAACCTTTCAGCTGTTAAGTGAAACACTGAAAATAAGAACAACCTTGGGTAAAGAGAAAAATTCTGATAGTAATTGGTAATTAGGTTACATTATGAAACAAAAAGAAATTTAAATATCAAATTGGCCCCTCCTTTGCTGGTCATTGTCTTTGTTGTACTTCGAACTTTGTAATAGAACCTGAGGAGAGTTTTGTGATTAACTAGTGGTTACTTTATGCAAATAGTATGCAGGATGTTTCATTAGGACCTAAATTTTATTGGGCCTTACTTTTTCTTATAATGATGGTACTGATGCTACAATAAAAAACTAGTTACCTTTAAATTGTATCACTGAGCATATGTGAGCAGAAAAGCTTAATTTATGTAGCAGAAGGGAAAATGTGAACAATGAAATTATCTTCCAATCCATGCTGTCTCTTTTCATTAGCAACTCTAATTATTGCTTCATACATCTGGATAGATGGCATGTTACTTTTTATGCCTCCAACTGTGATGATATATTGCTATTATTAGCTATTAACTATTTTTAAGGAAACAATGTTAATAAGGGGCTTTAATTAATGTGACTCAGAAATACAATCACACATAAACTAACTTGCCTTTTAAATTTTGTAAACTCTCAGGTTTCAGGTTTTAATTAACAAAAGTACTGGGTCAGAATGTCCAAGGTGATCTTTGGCTATATGTCCCTTTATGCATATACTTATGCATTTACAATGGAACATGATAGGGATATTTCTTAATGGACACTACTTGAGTGGATAATACGCATCAAAATATCTACTTTCTAAACAGATGGTTATTTCCACGGCTGTCCTGCACCTTTTTCACAGTGATGATGCCCTCCTGCATGTCCTTTTCAGTTATGATGTCAAACATATCAGTCCCATCACCATCAATAATTCGGTATTCTACTTCAGCATTTTTCCCAGTGTCAGCATCCGTTGCTTTTACACTTCCAATGGCTGTGCCAACTGGGGAGGATTCGAGAACTCGAAGATGGATCGTGTCTGTACAGATGACAGGAGAAAGGAGAGAAAGAGAGAGAGATTTTCTCAATAGAGTATTTAAAGGTAAAATGTGTATGAGAAAATATTATAAATCTTAAACTTTACATTAGATGTTTACCAATAAGTTAAATACACATAATATGCAAAATATATAGTTTTTGGACAGAAAAAGTAGAAATATAGGGTGCTTGATCTGTGCTTACTAGTGAAACAACCTATACCAAGAATTCTGGTTTTAAAAAGAGCATGTTGTTGTCTTTTGCATTTGCACAAGTAACAAGAGATTAGCTTTGAGTAGAAATATGTACCTGTGTGTGTTTATACAATCACAGCAAATCACAGAATATGCCACAAGTATTTCTATATTGCAGTGAACATATTTTTTAAATTGTTTTTCCTTTCTTGTTTTCAATTATTTATTATTCAGTTTATCGCAGCTGCAGAGCAGAACATTACAAAATTCCATGCAAGCAGCCATAGTGGGGAGGAACCCCACTTCTGTTTGTGACAGGAGACACAAAGATAGTCTGTGAGGAATACAAAGATGTCCTTCACAGTGTCAGTGTGAAAACACTAAATTCTGACAAACTCCCTTCCACTCCAGAGCAAAACAAGAATTTATCTAAGCCCCTGATTCACCCAGTCATGCTTCCAGCATGAACCAGCTCTCCTGCTAAATGAGATTTATGTTTTAGCACCTGATCATAAACTACATGCTACTGACAGATTAATTGACCCGAAGCACACTTCTGATTGAGCAGATTGTCGCTTATAAACCTTAATTCTCCTTAATATACATAATAAACTCCAGATTTCTTAGCTAGTCATACTCTGGCCTGACTGTATCTTTCCTAATGTGTCTTTCCTTCTGTCACTTCCAGGAAAGAGTTATACCAAACTGGACTTTTCAAAGTCTTTCTTGTCAAAATTAATTTCCTACATCTCTATATGTTCACATACTATTTCCCTCATATAAGCTTCTTCCCCCACTGTCCTCAAATAATTATAACACAATTTACCAAATCTGAGAAAATGGCTCTCTTATGTGTTGAGTTTTTGGGGGACTAGGGCCCTTAAGAGTCATATGTTTAACTCCCTAAACGCTATTCAGGATCTCAGAATATGACTGTACTAGAATATAACAGCTTTACAGAGGTAATTAAGGTTAAACGAGCAGGTTAGGTTGAGCTCTAATCTAACATGTCAAGCGTTTGGACACAGTCAGGCACAAGAGGAAAGCCCATGTGAAGCCTGGAAGAAGACGGCCATCTACACGTCAGTGAGAACCCTCAGGAGAAACCACCTTGATCTTGGACTTCCAGCTTCAACACCTGTGAGAAGAGAATGCCATGCAGACTGTGGTACCTTGCAGGGCAGCCCTAACAAACTAATACAGAGGCCAACATCTTCTCAGTTTGAGAAGTCCTTTCCTAGGAGACATCGCTCAGACTCAGTTTCTACCACACCCTAGTCAGTCACTTAATGTGTACTTTTCTTTTTCTACATTTTTTTCTCTCCATTAATTTCTGGTTACACCAGGTTGACAGCAACTCTCAATTCATTCCTTGGTTATTGTCTTATTGGCTCTCTTTGCCTTTTCTATTTCTTCTAGAAACACCTATTCCTGGATAATCAGATGGTTCATCCTCTTTCTTCTTCAGGTGACTACTCAACTGTGACCCCTTGGTAGCTTAATATTTTTACTGAAAAGAACCTTTTTGAGAAGGCGTCACTCTTCCTGTCACTTACCACTGCTAGGTATTGTATGATTTACTTGTTTATTTGTATGTACCATGAGGATGTTACACAGACAGGGACGACTTTGCATTTTTTCACCACCATATTCCCATTGCATTTCTTTGAATGTAATAGCTACTATGTACTTTTTATTATATTGGATATCTGAGAAACTTCCTAACTCATCTGCCAGGTCTTATAATTGGCCAAATCCAATTAAATCCCTTATGCTCTGAGTGCACACTGCAGCCATATTACCCCTTTGAAAACAATAATTTAATCAATAGTTATTCAGAACTTTGAAACTATTTGACAACTCACTTTGTACTTAAAACATACATAGGCTGGCCCTTCATAGATTCTTATTTCCTGTCATTTTAACCCTTACTTAATAGTCTCCATACACTGGTCTTTAGATTTTTCAAGTACGTTTTTCCTCTTCAGTTTAATGCACTTTTTTCCTTATGAAAGATTTTCTACACAAATGTTTGCCTGGCAACCTCTGTCTCTTCCTTTGATTACACGTATGTGTATGGCCGAGTCCCTTTGATGTCCACAAAGGTTAACCGGCTGACCTCAATATAAAACAAAAAGCTTACAAAATCTAGGTGGCTTCAAACAGTAGAAATTTATTGTCTTACAGTTTTGAAAGCTAGATGTCTGAAACCTAGGTATCTGGCAGGGCCATTGTCTCCTTGACAGCTCTAGAGACGAACCCTCTTTGCCTTTTATAGCTTCTAGTGCTTGCCAGCAATCGTTGGCATTCCTTGATTTGTCAATACATCATTCCAACAATGTGGCCATCTTTTCCCTGTATTTTCACATTGTCTTCCCTCTGTGTATGTCCCTCTGTGTATTTAAATTGCCCCCTTTTAAAGGATACTAGTCATATCGGAAAAGGGCCCCAAACTTAAATACCTCCTTTTAACTCGATCACCTCTATAAAGACCCTATTTCCACCTAAGGACTTAAAACTATATTTTTATGGAACATAATTCAACCCATAATAGGATACTATGATATGAAGTTAAAATTAACATAAATAAAAATCCACCAATGCTCTGAGAAGAATATTTGCAAAAATGCCATATGGAATTATTGTTTGTAAAGTTAAAAGAAAAAAAAATAGGAAGAGAATCCAAATGTCAAACAGCCTGAAAATAGGTAAATAAACTGCTACATTATCACACATCTTGACATAATACAAAATTGAAAAATATGAGTTATAGTTACATTGAAAAAATATGGATGAATCTTAGTTGCATCATACTAAGTGGAAAAAGGCAAATTTCAGAAAATTATACACAGTGTGACATTATTTTTACAAAATGTAAACAAGACCTCAACACTATTCTGTTTGGAAAACCATAAATACTACGTGTGTGTGTGTGTGTGTGTGTGTGTGTGTGTGTGTGAATAATCTCTTTCAAACACACGCACACACACACACACACACACACACACAATTTGAGTATCTTGCATGTGAATGCAAACTATTTTTAAAGTCCTTGTAATGCTTTAAAGTAGTGATACTTATGTTCTCTTATAGTTACTGCATACTACATGAAAACATAAAACAAACAAGCAAACCCATATACTCCATAAATTATTGTCAAATACAGCTTTGTATAAAAGTGTCATTAGTCTTTACTGGTACTTGATGGAAATAAATATCTTCTATTTAAAATTCAGGGCTTCCCTGGTGGCTCAGTGGTTTAGAATGCACCTGCAATACAGGAGACGTGGGTTCAATCCCACATACGTAATAACACAAAAAGAATCACAAGTAGAGTAAGCAGGAAATGAAAAAAAAAAGTGAAAAGCAACAATAACTTAAAACTCAAAAGCAAAATCAAGACAAGTAAAACACTTTAGCTGGAACATATCAACAAAAGAAATAATGTAGAGCCATCAGGTGGAGAATATTTTAAAATATACTCATTATGTTTTAAGGGATGAAAGTTATAAAATTTTGGCTAGAGAATGAAAAGTGTCTTCCTGTATTGATATGAAGCTAAATACAATATCTAATAGTAGTCAAGATTAAAACAGTTAAAAAATAATGGATGGGTTAAACAGATAATTAAAATCACAAAGGGCAGTTCTGGTGAGCTAGAGGACAGTGGAAGGAAGTCCACATGATTAAAAGTTAATATATAATTGTGAGGTTGGGAAAAATAAAAGACATGGATCAAAATGTCAGTGGACCTTTCAAGGTAACCCCTGATCCTAGAAAGATACTGAGCAATGTCATCAAAATTTGATGATAAAGTTATTTTGAACCTTGAATATTCATTATAGCCACAGTATTAATCAAGTATGATAGTCCAATAAAGATAGTTTTAGACTCAGCAAATTTCTTTCCCTTTGGCCCTTTTAAAATAACCTAATGAAGAATATATTCCAGGAAAACAAGAGGTTAAATCAAGATACAGGAATACAGAAGATCTAGAGAGTTATGTATCCGAATCAAGAAAGTGAAAAAGAAATGTCTGGAATGGCAGACTTTCCTGGGCTCCAGAGATTAGCCAACCCACGCTGAAGAGTGAATACTGATGATGAACCTAGGTTTATAACTCTGAATGTTGCTAGAATTAAGCTAGGTGCTATCAGGGTTTTTTCACTAATAAATTTTGAATAGTACCTCTAAAGCACAAATCTGTAACATCTCAGAAAATACAACTTTACTAAAGAGGATCTTTGTCAATAGTGGAAATCATTCCATGGAAAATAAAATATTTGACTTATTTTCTCTTAAGACTTTTAAGAGCTTTAGTTTACAGTTTTGAACTAAATATTCAACTTTTACATGTGATAGCATAATACTTTGAAAAGTACATTTTAAAAAATTATAAAGAATTTTTTTAAGACATGGTTAAAAATTTCTTAGATATATTTACCGCTTCAGTGAAAATGCTATTGGGACAGAAAGAGAGGAAGGCTGAGAATGGTGGATATAAAAGAGATTTCATAACAGTTAATCTTGGTGAGATAAACAATAGAGAAATTTTGAAATGTATTATAATTATATTAAGGGGAGAACAGATTGAGATGCCACTGAGCTCCATTTTCAAGAATCATGAAAAGAAGTCAAAAGGCAATATACAAAAAATTTAAAAATAACAAGAAAATATTACTTAATTACAGTTTAACTTAGGTGAACTAAAATGAGTAACAATTTATTGTTGTTTTCCGTGATGATTTGAGCTATGGGGAGGAAGAATGGAATGGGTGGCTTATTTTCTATTTTAAAATTTTATCTC